CCTCCCTCCTCCCTCCTCCTCCCTAGGTAGTTGAAAATTTTAGGTTAAATCTTATAATAATGTAGTAGGTTATGATCTTAGGTGTTTAATCTTAGCTATTTAATTTTAGAATAATGTAGTATGAACCCTAGCTAGTTATGATCGAACCATGTTCAAAATGTAGGTTTTAATTTAGGTGTACTTTATATAATTTAGGTATTTTAGGTGTTTAATTTTAGAATAATGTAGTATGAACCCTAGTTATGATCGAACCATGTTCAACATGTCAAATTTGTTCTTATTTTTTTAGTTAAAGCATTTATTCCCGCATCCACGTCGACGATGCCTATCCCGCATCCTCGTCATCGACTCGGCGGAGGACACCTACTTGATCAGAGGGGCCATGTCCGGGACTGGGCTCCGCCGGGATGGTACTGGGAGGTGCTACCTTCCGGGTGGCGCAGCTTGGTGAGGAGCCAGCCCGTCGTTGACCCGAACCTTCTTTGGTGGCGGTCGCGTGGGCCAGTGACGGTGCGGAGGCTTGAGGACCCCGTGGAGGTGGTATGTCACCGTGTGAGCAAGGAGGACGAGCACATCCGTCGCTACATGGTTGCGTTGGAGGGCAGGTTCTCCAATACCTGACAGGTTCTTCAGGGATCTCACTGGAGCTATGATCCTGTGATGGTTCCTTCTCTTTGGGTGTCCACCGCCCACGCCGATACCCGTCGTTCGCTAGGTTTTTAGCTATATTAGTGATGTTGTATGTATGATGCTATTTGAGATGTATTAGTGATAATATTCGACGATGTACGGACGAAAGAGATGATTTAGTTTTGCTTATTGAATGCATGCTAATTTGAATACTTATTTATTTTACGATTTGGTTTTGCTTATTGAATGCTCAAATTGGAAAACTGCTCCTACTTTGAATGCCCAAGTGGCCGGCCATGTTTGCAGGTTACACCTCCGAGTGGCCTATGTTTTGCCGGAGTGTTGATTAATTTCCGTTCTGGCAAATTTTAGACGCTCGATATGTCCTTTTTAGCAAAGGTCATGCCAGATTTTTCCATGAATTCCGGGATGACTTGTGATAGAATATGTAGGAAATATTGAGTGGCCATGATTTTCTAGAAAGATAACTAAATGACATATTGGGTTGACTTTAAGTCTGTCGAGGCCCCATACATGACAATCAAAAAATGAGTGAGGGAGTGTGTCCACCATATGTGAGAGAAAAATAATGTTGACTGTTGTTGTGGGGTCGCTTCTCCTTCATTCCTATGTGCTAGACATTTTGGTTGAATGCACTTGGGGATGAAGGGAGGAGCGACCATCACCAACGGTCGAATATATACACCACATGAGCTGAGAGTTTTCAAAAAAAGACTCGACGAACCAATAGTCAACCCGTGCTGAATAATAATGATCTAATTTGGTTTTTGTAGTACATATATTGAATTGTACAAGTTTAATCTTTGAATTATGAACCTCTACTTCCTCTACACCCGAGTAGTTGCCTTCGACTGATTTTCAATGTTTCAAATATGAACATATATAGGAAATGTCTGACGACGAAATGAAATTTGGTATGTGCGAATACTGTGAAAACGAGCGCGGCATGTGCGACAGGCCTCACCTAGTTGATGGTAGGCGCTTCAGCATCGTGCTGGATGAGAATTTCAAAGTGGATACAGTAAGTCTTTTTTCGTAATTAAGCATGACTTCTGCTACTTCTGCTTTTTTTGCTTCACCTTATAATTTTAATTTTTTACAATTCTACTAGTGTATCCCCTGTCATGCAAGAATCTATGTCTTGGATAAGATTGGTTTTAGTACTATGGAAAGTATGGAGGTAAAGAAAGTTCACTAGAGGACCGAGCATGGTTATACTTTTGCCGCAAAATTATACAATGCCGACACAAAATTATAAAATTATCCCATGTTTGTGCACCCAGAAGAACCGGAAATCATCATTTTGTTCCTTCATGTGGCGGCTCCTTCAATGAGTGACCAACCTAGATTCCAATCAATGCGGGAGCTATGACCACATGGCAACGGCGCTGGTTTCTGAGCAACGCAATGGACAACACCTCACCGGGATACGACATGAGGTCTACTCGGTTACCATGCCGGTAGCATGGCGCGATGGGAAAGTGCCATGGCGGTGAACAGGCGTATGTATATTGGAGTTATATCTTGAAGATTGATTGAGAGGTTAGTCGGCCATTAGTAACAGTAGATGAGGCCAATAATTGTAGGTCAGTTTCAATTGCCGATTTACTACCCCTGTACCGAACTACTTGTAGTTTCCGCAACTACAAGTATTTCGATGCAGAGGGAGTATTTCTTTCCCTTTCACGCACGACCATGTAATCACAACCTTGCCATTGGTCTTTGCCCAATCTCCTCACTTCCTCTCTAATTCATTCCAATCCTCCCTCCTTTCTACATCCTCTCTTCCCCCAATTCTTCATCCCTTTTTAGAATCTATTTATTCACACTCTTCTTTATGCTCAGAAACAATGTTGGTTCGTTCTGTTGGGTTACCTCATTCTGCTAGATTAGAAGGTTTAGGCATTTACCCCATTTGGAAGGTGATGCACCGATTTCTATAATTTATCCCTTGCATCTCTGTTGTATTACTCTTTAGCCAAGTGAACAGTGCAATCAAAATACTACTTAGGATTCAAATAAAATATTCATAGAGGTTACATGTTGTCAAGTAGATATTCAAAGCCTCTGTTACTGCAATTTTAGGCTTTCCTTCACTAAAAGCAGGTGAGGGGAAATACAAAGCCAGATTAAAGCTAGATTGCATATGAATTGTTGCTATATAAAAACCAAAAGAGAGGGAAATAAATGAGACAAACATATGGTTCAGATGCATCGGGATACATGGATGAAATGTCAACTCTTTTTTACTCCCCCATAGGCACGTAATGTTCCAATAAAG